ACAGAGCCAAGCTGGAGGACCCCTGAAAACTCCTCTTGCTCACCCCTCATGCCCTGGTTGGTGGAGGTTTATCCCGTAGCATCCCCACAAAAGGGCCACCCAGTCATCACTTGACATACCAGACAGGGGAACTCAGAACTTCCCAGGGGAGCCATGAACTCAGAGCCAGGAGACCAGGTCTACATACTGGCTTACCTGTAACAAGCCCCACAAGCTTGGGCCAATCAGTTAACATCTTAAACTTCAGTTTTCTTCTCCAAAATGGAGATGGTATTTCCCAACCAGTTGACTCACCAGGTAGGTGAGGATCAGACAATACCATGGAAGTACAGGAACAATTAACTGTACATGCTAATGCAAAAAACGATCAACTGTAAAATTTGATTTGAAGCATCCTTCACCCAGTGCATCTAGTGAGCTCTTTGAGCCCTGGGGTCATAGAGTGTCCACATTATTTTCTCTCATGCTTCACCTCCCCAACTCACAGAACTGCACACTGGTCAGCTTTCCTGGGTGGTGCTCATCTCTCCAGCCAGTCTACTGCTTCTCTCAATCACTACAGTCAATGTACCTCGTGGCTTCATATCATCTTACAGTGGAAGTGTAGAAGCAGCTCAAAGCCCCCAGGTTGCAAGTTACACAACCCAAGCACACCGGATGAACCAGACATGCAACCACTGGTGGAACCTAGGTGCTGGGACTAAGGAATAGGGATGGATTAAGATGTGGACACCACATAGCATGATCCATGATCCAACAGCATCATCATCTCATGACATGATCCAATCAGATCAAGCCTCCCACAGCACGACATTGCAAATGGCCAATCAGATCGCACCATTACCTTCTGCCTACAAAACCCATCCCAGCTTCCAAGAGCCTGACTCCTGTCTCCTTGTTCAGCAGCTTTGCAACAAACTTTTCTCTCCAGAAAAGCATGATGCTTCAGTGTTTGGCTTTCTATGGTGTATAGGCAAACAGACCAAGTTCTGTTCAGTGACACCTTTTTGCTAATTTCATGATTTTGTTTGTTTGTTTGCTTAATGCCCCACCTCCCTGCCCCACTCACAAACAATTTACTGGAGCCTCAAGAGGACAGAGTGTGGCTCTCTTGTGCCTTGTCTTGTCTTTATTGCTTAGCTCACTTTCCTGAACATAGCAAGTGTTCAGTAAATACTTGTTGCATGACCTAGTGGTCAACTACCTCCTATATCACATTCTACTGCCGAGAGTTCAAGGTGAATGAAGGTCAAGATAACTGAAATCCATTGTGATATTTCCACTTCTGTCCTTGCAGTTGTCCTGAAAGTCGTGTGGGGTGGCATTGGTTAGTCACTTCCTCCTCTAGTCAAATGCTCAAGAAACAGTCTGAAAATAAGTCCAAAAACTGAATATACACCCACCCTCAATGCTCCAGAGCCTTGAGAGGAAAAGCAGCCAGACATTTCCAGACACCAACCATTTCCCCTTTGAGCAGTGACATTTCTTTTAATTTTTTTGGATGAAAATGTCACCAAGATATATCATGCACACCTTCCTCCTAGGAGGTGGCATGGTAAAGTAAGATGAGTGTTGGCTTTGGGTCATTTGAACTAAGTTTAAATTTTGCCTGTACCACTTGCTTGCTTTATAGCCTGAGTCAACTCACTTAGCTTCTGTTTGTCTCAGTTTCTGTATCTGCAAAATGAGGAGACTATTATCACAATGTCGTGAGAATACAGGTGGCGTTAGATATAGAGACAAACAGGTAGCAAGTGTCTGTTCCTTAAATGAAAGCTAGCAGGCTCCTGTAAGTTGCAGACCCATATTTTCAGGGCAAACCAGGACCAAGTAATAAATATGCACGGCTGTGAAGGATGACAGCATGTAGACCTACTTGATTTTTTTTTTTTTTTTTTTTTTTTAAGATGGAATTTTGCTCTGCCACTCAGGCTGAAGTTCAATGGCGCATTCTCGGCTCACTGCAACCTCTGCCTCTCAGGTTCAACAGATTCTCCAGCCTCAGCCCCCGAGTATCTGGGATTACAGGCATGTACCACCACGTCAGGCTAATTTTTTTTGTATTTTTAGTAGAGATGGGGTTTCACCATGTTGGCAGGCTGATCTCAAACTCCTGACCTCAAGTGATCCACCCGCCTCAGCCTCCCAAAGTGCTGGGATTATAGGCGTGAGCCACCGTGCCTGGTTGACCTACTTGATTTTTGAGTCCCTGTGTCTGTTTTGCAGAGTTGCGCTATTCCTTTGCACCCTGACAACTGTCATTTCTCATTGCTACTGGGAAACTTTCATCCCCTTATCCCTCCCCATAATTTGCTGAGTCTTAGAATGTATGAGCTTGTTAAACAGACATGCAAACCAAGAGTATAGAGATTCCGAGGGAAAGTGTAAGGGCTTCTGTGTGTGCGAACGGGAAAAGTTTTCATGGGCATTTTGCTTTGGGCTGCTCAGAGGCCCCCTCTGCTGAGTGTGAAGGAGCTTGAACTCTGGGGTCAGGTAGGCCTGGATGTCAGACCTGCCTTACTCTTGGTACTTCCATTTTGTTCAGCCTCTATGAAATAGTTACTGGCCATACTTTACAGATAAGGAGAAATGAGTCTCAGAGAGATTAAGTATCTTGGCCAAGGTCATGCAGTTGTGTTAAAACAGGATCGGACGCCAGGTTTGTTGCCACCAAACTCTAATTCTTTCCATGGCCCCACCCACAGCCAGAACATTGGGAAACTGGACTAAATCCAAACACATTGAAAGGCTATGGATGACAGCTGGATTGGGTCCCTTAGCTGATAGTTCTGTAGGCTTAGTTACCTGGGTCTGCTATATCAAGATCATGGACTGTGGGTCAGACTGGGGCTGTGTTCCGGGTTAGCTGTTAACATGCCGTGCAACCATGAACAAGCTTCTTCCCTTCTCTGGGCTGTACTTTTGCTATATGAGGAGCTTCCTAAGATTTTGAAACAGTGACCAACACTGTGGTATAAAAGAAGAGAGAATTGTGAAAGGGAATAAAGCTTTGGTGGCTAAAATGGAACATAATTTGACACGTGGGGGACCTGCCTTCAAACTCAGCTTTCCCACTTACTGTCTGTATGCCCTGGGGCATTTCTGTGCCTCAGTTTCTTCATCTGCATCTGAAAAGAGGACAGTATCTCACAGTATACAGAGAAAATTGAATGGCAATGGTACATCAGAGTAACTGGAAGAAAAAGCAGGGGATTCGTAACTCAATTTGACTTAAGACCCAACAATCTGCTTTGACTTATCACAGGTTGGATTATCTTAGAACAATCCATGCATAGAATGTAAGACAAAAGCTCTCTGGTCAGATGCCCCGCAAACATTACCCACACATGTTGCAATGACAGAGGACTCACCTGACTTAGGGGGAACATCGTCCAAAGTCTTCAGACCACACAGGACCTTCTAAATTGGTGGTAGTTGGTTCTGTCTACTCCAACGCCTATCATTTCTAGGTAACGTTGGATATAGGATGGACAGTGGCTTTCTAGACCATCTCAACAGCCTCCTGCTGGGCTGGTGTCCTGGCCTCCAGTGACACAAGGGGTAAGGCTGCACACAAGTCTCTAGTGGCTACTCATGCCCTTCAAACAGGCCGGAACCTCTCAAACACACCTGCATTCTCATCACAGCACTCCCACCTTGATATTTATGTTAAAGCAAACAACCGCCCTGGGTGCTCCTGGTTACAACACGCTGTCTCTCTCCTCTATGCCTTTGCTCACACTCGGCACTCTTACAATGTTGGTGAAACCTTATGCATCATTATACAGTTCAGTGTCTCCTCCACTGGGAATTCTTTCCTCTGAGCTCTTAGAGTGACCTATGTGTATCTCCACAAGGACACACTGTATACTGTAATTATGTTTCTGTCTCCTCAACTAGAGTTTGACTTTCTTTAGGACATGACTTCTCCACGGCTAGCTCACTGCCATGTTCCAAGCACTAAAGCATTGCCCGAGACAGGGTGGGTTCTTAATAAAAATGTTTGCTGAATGAATGAATGGTTTTTAGGTCCTGGGTCTGGCCTCATTCCTGGTACATAAGGTATTCAGTTTATGCTGGATGAGCTGTACAGAGCAATTTGAAAGTCTTTCCACTCGATGCTCTGCTTCATTTTAAGGAAATGTAGTCCTCCTTCCTGGAGTTCTGGGCAAAACCAGCAGCCAGTGTCTCTGCCCTTGTGCAAAGTGTAGCTTGTTTAAAAGAAATGTCCGTGCTCCTAATGTCATGACCTGACATTGGCAGTTTAGCTATGGAGATGCATCACTGTATTCCTGAACTCTGACCATCTCTTATTAAAATCAGCAGTTTTACCAGATGGCAAGTGCCCTTGTGGGATTCTAACACCTTACAGCCTTAAACTGGACCAGCCCTCAGGTCTTGGCACATTTGTGATCTCTGAGCAGGTTGTTTGCAGAATTCAGCAAGTCTGTCTATCTGGATGTTACTGGCAGCGACACAAGGAAAAGTGATCTTGCCAGGAGACTGTGCTCCAGGTCCCCAACCCCACAAACTAAATTTATCATAAACACATTCCAGGAAGTTTTCTTCTGGACCATCTCAGGTCCCTATTAGGATGTACCTTGTATTTTGTTGCTTTTGTTTTTGAGACAGGATCTCACTCTTTTGCCCAGGCTGGAGTGCAGTGGTGTGATCACAGTTCACTGCAGTCTCAGTCTTCCAGGCTCAAGTGATCTTCCCATATCATCCTCTCGAGTAGCTGGGACTATGGGAGTGTGCAATTCCACCTAATTTTTAAAAACATTTTTCTTTGTAGAGACAGGGTCTCCCTATGTTGCCCAGGTTTGTTTTGAACTCAGGGGTTCCCTTTGAAGTGGGCTTGGGGCTACTGACCTTCCTCCCAGGAAGCTTTGCTCCTGGCCAGTCTTGCCCATGGGCATTGCCAGTCATATGATTCAACTGGAGGCCCATGTGACACAGAGAAGGAAAACTGCAGACTCCAAGTGAAGAACCATCCTCACCTGACAGGGGCTCCCCGGGACTGGGCAGGTTTCAGCATCACTGTGATGGTCGTGTCTGTTTCATTCAATGGGGTGTCTGTGTCGTACTCAGGCATCGACGGAGCTGGGCGGGAAACAGAGAGTGCAGGTGAGTTCAGCACAGGTTCCCACCCTGCTCACCACCTCCCCTTGCTGCCATCCTTAAAGACCAGCATGACTAGAGGGAGGATGCTTAAAAAAGGGGCTGGATGAGAAGCCTTCCAGGCCTTCAGTAAAGGAGGCCCTGGTGCCCGGCCTATCCACAGTAGGTTTCTTCAAGGTGCAGTAGCGTGGGGAAGGGTGGCAATGATGTGTCAGGTAATCTGCATGAACCAAAAAATTCCACATCTAATAAAGAGATACGTCCAGGGAATATAAGTGCTAACGGAGAAGTGAAAGCAGACTCAGCCTTGCTAAACACATTTAAAATGCAAATTAAATCAATTATGTACAACCTCCCCTCTACTTTTTTTTTTTTCTTCATGAGACCCCTTTCCCTCACACTCAGCTGACAGGAATGCAGCTATATCTAATCCTTTGGGAAGGTAATTAAGCCATTTGTAGTAACAGCTATTAAAACACACACCCTTTTTAGTTCACTTCCTCCAACTTCTGAATTTAATCCTAAAGTTATAATCTAAACCCATGATTTAAACTTTATTTTGTAACATGTTTATTAAAGTGTTATTTTGTAAAAACACGGAAGCACCAAATATCCAACCACAGGGGAATGTATAATTAAATTACGTCCATCCACTCGACAGAACATTATAACAAAAGCAATGTAGCAACATAGGAAACACTTATGGGATAAACATACGAGAAAACATTAAGCTACAAAATAAAATCATGTTTTTCTGCAAAACCATGTGCAAAATATGTATATATGCAGACCAGAATTGCATAGATATTTAGGATAATGAAAGCTGTAGAAAAGGTTCTGAAATAATTCTGCACTGAGGCTGTCTAGTGGCAGAGGGGGTTCTACTGGTGACAGCAGTCTATGATTTTGGACTGCTGTGGCCCTATAATAGTAATTCATTTATTCATTCATTCATTTATCAGGCATTTCATGAGAACCTGTGCTAATGTCTTACACTGGCACAAAGAACGTTCCTGAAAGTGAATTTAAAAACTAACTTGTATGCAATATACGTTATCTACACACACACACACACACACACACACACACACACACACACACACAATTTCATGAAATCCTGTGGGCAAATTATTAAGTGAGTGCCACCTAATTAATCTAGTTTTTACACTTTCCGAAGTTCATCACTTAGGTTTCCTTCATAGAAGACAACAATGATAACTCACTAGGGACTGGATCATCCTAATTCCACCGCTATCACAGGGTGAAAAGGCAAGAAAAATTTCTACTTCAAGGGAAATTGGCAAGTGGGGGTAAAACCACCTTTCTTCCTTTTTCGTTTCTAGGAGAGATACCTGAAATTTTGGTGGCGATCCGAGTGGTGACGGGTGGCCCAAAGCCCTTTGCTGTGCTGGCCTTGATGGTAAAGGAATAGGTGGTCCCTGGGTACAGACCCACAAACAGGTGGTGGGTTTCATTCCGGAGCTTGAACACTTTCCCCCTCTGGCTGGACAGGTCAGCACTTGGGTCCAGGGAGCCAACAGCCTTGTAGTTGATCTGCAGGACAAGCCAGCAAACAAACAAATAAATGCCTCGCTCAGGAAGCTGGACCGAGCTCATCTGGAGGAACCTTAGGGAAGCGGGGGGAGGGAAGGGCATGTGGGCTTGGCCGGCAGATTCTGCTAAGCTGCCTGTTGCTGTCCACTTTACAGATGATCCCAGCCTCCAAATACCCCATTGCTCACCCACTGGAGCAATGCATGTTCTCACTGATTTGTAGGAGTTAAAACTTAAAAAATAACTGAACTTGCAGAGATAGAGAGTAGAAGGATGGTTATCAGAGGCTGGGAAGGGTAGCAGAGGGTAGGGGGTGGTTAATGGGCAGAAAAAAATTGAAAGAATGCATAAGACTTCGTATTTGCTAGCACAACAGGGTGTACAGTCAAAAATCATTTAACCATACATTTTTAAATAACTTAAAGGATATAATTGGATTGTTTCTAACACAGATGATACACGCTTGAGGGGATGGACACCCCATTTATCCTGATGTGATTATTATGCACTGCATGCTTATATCAAAATACCTCATGTAACCCATAAACATATCCACCTACTATGTACCCACAAACATTTTTTTAAAAAAGAAATAGTGAACCACAGATGTCACTCTGAATTTTTTGATAGTTTCATGAAAAGACGTAAAAAAAAAAACCAACAAATTTTAATAACACATCTTGTTGAACCCAATGTATCCAAGCTACTATCATTTCAATCTGTAGTCAACATAAAAATTGAATTGTTTATATTCTATACTATTCGTATGAAGTCTTACAAATATGTTGTGTCTTTTACTCCTTCAGCACAACTTCATTTGGACTAACCCCTGCTTTTCACAAGTGCAGTGGCCCTGTGTGGCCAGTGACCACCATGCTGGATATTGCAGTCACAGAGCAGTGCTCAAGTACAGTGTCCCAGTGAGAATATTTGTGAGTCTTGATAAAAATGCAGATCATGGGCCCCATATTCCACACAGATAGCAATTGCTGACTGGTGCTTTCTTGGGCATTATCTTTTTTTTTTTTTTTTTTTTTTTTTTGCCTTCCTCAAATCCTTGGGGGCATCAGGATAGCTACTCTCATTTTAATAATGGAGAAACCGAGGTGCCATTGGAAGCCACTTGCAGTCAGCATTTTTCAAATTGTATAGGGAGACAGTTTATCGATGGCATATGAAGACACGCCCCATGTGACATATCATGTGAGTTCAGCAATAACCAAACTGGTCTACACCTGTGAAATGCTTCGTGTCTACTGTTCCCTGATCACACACTGGGTGCCAGAGCAAGGTACTAGAAGAGTTTTGAAGTGCTCACTCTCAATTTCTGCACTTGCCCAAGGATGAAAATAACTAACAGTTGGTAGCCCAGCACTAGTCCCGTGGATCACACTTTGAGCGTCACATCTTGAAATTACACAGTTGTAAAGTTGCAAACACAGGATTTTTTCTCTGTTTGTCTTACCTGGTTTGTTCCATTAAAAATGTTTAATTAGGCTAGGTATGATGGCTCACATCTGAAATCCCAGCACTCGAGAAGGCCAAGCTGGGAGAAATGCTAGAACGAGAAGTTCGAGACCAGCCTGGGCAACACAGTAGGCCCCTGTATCTACAAAGTATTGAAGCAATAGCTGGCTGGGGTGGTGCACATCTGCAGTCCCCGCTCCTCAGGGGCTGAGGTGGGAAGATGGCTGGGGCCCAGGAGTTCAAGGCTATAGTGAGCCATGAGTGCACCACTGCACTTTAGCCTGGGTGACAGAGTGAAACCCTGTCGCAAATAAAAAATAAAAATAAAAAGTTTAATTATGGTATAATATACATACAGAAAAGTATCCCTCTTGATGAATGTTTGAAAATGGATATAGTCATATAATCAAAAACCAAACCATTACCAGGCCCAATACTTTTTCTTACACTCCCTTGCAATCCTACTTGCCTACCCCCAACAGGGATCACCTCTGCCTTTTTTTTTTTTTTTTTTTTTGAAAGAGGTTCTATCTCTGTCGCCCAGGCTGGAGTGCAATGACACAATCTCGGCTCACTGCAACCTCTGCCTCCCCAGTTTAAGCGATCCTTGTGCCTTAGCCTCCCAAGTAGCTAGGATTACAGGTGCATGCCACCACGCCCAGCTAATTTTTGCGTTTTTATTAGAGACAGGGTTTTAGCATGTTGACAAGGCTGGTCTCAAACTCCTGACCTTAAGTGATTCACCTGCCTTGGCCTCCCAAAGTGCTAGGATTACAGGCATGAACCACCACACCCAGCCTACCTTGGTCTCACTTTTAACAGCACAGACTAGTTTTTCCAGTTTTTGCACTGTATATAAATGAAATCCTATGAAATTTGCGTTTTGGTTTCTGGCTTCTTTCTCTTAACATTATCGTTACATCCATGGGATTCATCCATGTTGTCATGGACAGTAGCAAATAAGGCATTCTCAGGTACATTCAACAATCTATTGCTGACACTGTGCTAAGCAGATCTGACTCTGAAGCCGGCACTCTATATTCTATACCACCCTGCCTGGCCTGGAGACGCCATGCGTCAGTTGAAGAACGCATTCACTCATCCACTTATTTGCTCCTTCACATGTTTCCTGTGTACCCCTGTATTCTGAGCCCTGCACTGTGTGCTGCTGGGGAGGGGGCAACTGAATTCAAGTCAGGCCTTGTCCTCAAGTGATTTCCATTCTTGAGTGAGGGAAGCCAGTTATATAGACAGCTGACATCACTTACCTTCTGTCAAGAATGGCCAAACCCAAGCAGAAAAGGAAGCACATCAACTTCTCTTCAAAAATAAGCAATTTGCTATTACTGGCAATGACACCAAATGTTGTGGAGAGAAAAGTGATTTATCTCTCCTATGATAAACAGTAGTGGTGCCACACCCTTGAGGAGAGGTCAGACTGCCCAGAGCAGAGTGCGCGCAGGAGGAGAAATGCAGGGAGCTGAGGGCTTTGGGCTTTTTACAAGCAGCGCCTGAGCGTGCATGTGCACCATGCAGGTGGCTGCCAGCTTCAGGCTGCTCTGGTGGGCCTGTCTACAGCGTTCCCTATGGTCACCCTTGCCCACCTCAGTCCCTCTCAGAGGCAAGTGCTACAGGTGTCTATCTGCCTCTGTTTGAGGACTTTCTCCATGGGTGCTTGCTGGAAATGGGGGGGGGGGCGTAATTAACACCCCAACCACGATGGGAGTTAATGCACAAATTCCCCAGGCTCTCCTTCCTTGACACCCCTGCAAACGTCCCCTCCTTGGTATCCCTGCAGCATCCCAATTTCCCTGAGGGGCTCAGCTCCACTTCTAGAGGCAGCTGCTTTGACAACACAGTGATTATTGGCTACTTTCCTTTCTCTTCCCCACGCTACACCTCTTTACCGGTGTGTCTTAAACTTCTCAGCAATCTGCTCATATTCAAATCCTTATCTCAAGGTCTGCTTCTGAGAAGGACCAAAGTAAGGAAAAGTGCTCAGGGAGGTATCTCAGGAGAGAGTGGAACTAATGCCTGAAGGACGATCCTGAGTCAAAGAGGAAAGAGTATTGTAGGTTCCAGGCAGGGGGAACCACCTGGGCAAAGACCTGGGGTGGGAAAAGGTTTGGACAGAGCAAAGGCCAGAGCCACTGCAGAGCGGTGAGCAACTAGGGGCAAATGGAGTTTTCAGTGTGCAGGTGGATTCTGGTTCAGAGACTTCAGCCTGTAGCCACCAACCCCAGTGCACCAGTGGAGAGGATATGCCCTTGCATTCTTTGAAAATTCTGTCCCTGTACCCCTGCCTGCACTGGTGGCAACTACATTGATATACAGACACTGGGAGGTGGAACTCATGCCTTATTTACTAGCCAATTCCTTTCCTGCGTTCCAAATTCAATCCAAAAGCAACTCAATTTCCACCAAGCTGTCAATATAATATACCGCGCTGCTCTGCTCTCCTAACCTTTCCTGGTATTACAGGATCCTCACTTACTTGTAATGAAACACTATGAATAAATCAATGTATGTTAATATAGCATGTCTTCAATTTTTTATGAAGGGCTTCGCCAAATCTAATTCCCACTGCTTTGTCAGGAACAGTCTTTGAAAAATTTAACTTGCAAGTTTTACGAAGTTAGTGGGGGATCGGGCTGGGGAGGGAAAGAAGAAAGGTGAGAAAAATGGGAGGGGATGGAGCTGTGGCTGTAAATGTATAATACCATATGAACCTTCATTTGTAAGTGGGGCAAAGGGGAGATTTGTTGGAATAGCAAACATAAAGGGTTAGTAAGGGGATGGGTGCACAGGTGCACATCAACCCTGGGCTCCTGGCATAGGCTTTGGCCGCAGCAAGTACTCAAGGATGTCCCCCCTCTCTTTTAGTTGCTGACAGTAGGATCCCCAGCCAGAAGCCAAAGCAAGTGCTTTATAATGAAAATCCAATCATGTCATAAGAGCAATGGTTTCCCACAGCTCTCAGGATGAAGACTGTGTCTGTGTAATGTGGCCTTAATCAGCTCGGTGCATGAGCTGGCCTCTGTTGTCCTCTCCCCTACCACCCCAAGCCTTATTTCAGTACCTGAAAACAATGATGGTCCTTTCTGCCACAGGGCTTTGCACCAGCTGTTCTGTCGGCTGGGACCTCGTCTTCCTTCCCATGCCTCCCATTTGCCTGATTCATGATTCCTCGTCCTTAGCTAACCTCACTTATAGTGACTCTTTTTATAGGCATCTTTGCTGACTCCCAGGTTCTCTTATTTTATGTTTCCAGAATCACCTGTCTCTCCTTTGAGCCATGAATTTTCCATGTACCCGTGTAGTTATTTCATCAATAAGTCCCTTTTCTACCAGCCCATGATTTGAAAAAATACGACCTGCAAGTGAAATTCAATCCGCCTTCTGTTTTTTAAGTAAAGTTTTATTGGAAAACAGCTAACCATTTATTTAAATGTGGGCTATGGATACTTTCACACCACAAAAGCAGAGCTAAGTAGTTGCAAGAGATACCCTATGGCCCACACGGCCTAAAATAT